CCCCAAAACCCCAAAACCCCAAAACCCCAAAACCCCTTTTTAAAACTTAAGAATTGAAATAAATTTGAAATAATAATAATTTAAATGGAGCAAGAAGTCCCGAAGAGTGCTGCCAAAACCGAGACCAAATCTGCTGACAAGACTAGCCACAAAAAGGGTAAAATCTACTTCATCAACAACGTAAATACGATGGTTGGACAGAGCTTGACAGAGGAAATCCGTAACGACCACATGCTGCTTGATGAGAAGTTCACTCATACAATCCTTGGGACAAGATGTGAGGAATCGACTGCTCCCATCCCTTCAGGGATCAACAAGATTGTCAAAAAGAATAAGACCAGGCACTGGAAGAAGTACCTTATCAACAGTGATGTGATGGTCTTTGACATGCTTACTTCTTCCTTTGACGAAGTCCAGAACGCAATCCATGTGCTCAAGACCCAGGATTATACAGAGGAAAAGGTTCTCGTATTGATATCTTCAGCAGTTACTTGGGTGAACACTCCTCCAAACAAGAAAGCTTCCAGGATCAATGAAGAAGCTACTGATACTGAAAGTGAAGTTGATAAACAAGCAGATGTAGAGAACTCAGGTATTGATGAGAATGGGAACACCATTTTTCCATTCGAAGAAACAGATCTCAATGCTAGAGTCCCTTCCCCAAAATTCCAGAGTTTGAAGACTCTTGAAAATCAAGCCCTAGCAGTCATGAAGCTCAAGGCAAACCTAAAGGTGTATGTCTTGTGTTCAGGAGTGATCTATGGGAACAATGAGGAAGCCTTCTTCTCTCATTTCAAGCAAGCTTGGCTTCAAAAGCTCCCTAGCTTGCCAATAGTGGGAACTGGAGACAATGTGATTCCAACAATCCATGTCAAAGATCTTTCAAATCTTGTAAAAAGAGTAGCTGAAGTGAAGCCACCTCATTATTACAGCTTTGCCATTGACAGATCTCCAGGCTTGACTCAGAAGGAACTTGTTAAAGGTATCTCCAAAGGTGTTGGCAGTGGGCAGACCCACCACATCGAACTTGATGATGTAATCTATGAGCAATGGACTGAGTTCCTTACTATCAACATTAGGATGAAACCTTCCTCCATTTTCAATGAAGTGTACCTCTCTGAACCAGAGCAGGAGGAATCGCATGACTTCCCTTGGCATTGTGAGAAAGGACTTGTAGAAAATATTAGAAAGGTTAATGAGGAGTTCAATAGGTTCCACTCTTTAGCTCCGATCAGGATCGCTATCAATGGACCTCCTGCCAGTGGTAAGACTTACTATGGTAGCAAGCTTAGCGAAATGTACGACATCCCTCATGTCAAGATCACTGATGTGGTTGCCCTTACTTCAAAACTTGAAGGAGAATCAGGCGAAGAAATCCGAAAATTCATTGACTCCAAAAAGGATGAAACTATGGAAGAATTTGAAAAATCAAAGAAGAAAGGCCAGGAGATAAACAGAGACGATATTGATGTCAGACTTCCAGACCACCATCTACATACTCTCACAAAGATCAAATTAAACGAGAATGTGTGCAGGAACAGAGGTTTCATACTTGATGGGTTCCCCAAAACCTACGTTGCTATGTGCCATTCCTTCCTTAAGAAGAAGCTCAAGCCAGAAGCAGAAGAACCGGCTGAAGAAAAGAAGAAGCCTGAAGGTGAGGGAGACAATCAGCCTGAGGGTGAAGTAGAAGAGCCTCCGATTGATTGGGACAATGATTATGATATCGATACTGATGTTCTCCCAAAAGTCTTCATAAACCTCACTGGCGATCTCGATGAGATCAAAGCTCGAGTGAAAGAACTCCCTGAAGAGAAAACAGCTGGTTCTCACTGGGATGATGCTGGCCTCGACCGAAGGAACGGTGTCTATAAAGAAAACAACATTCGTGCTGAAGAAGGTGAGGAAGATAAAACAGTGCTTCTAGATTTCTATACAAAATACGGCATCAAAGTTTATGACCAAAATTGCCTAGAAGAAGAGACTAAAGTTACTGAAAATCTGCAGCAAATAATCTCTGACAACTTCTCTCCAGCCAGCATTGATACTCCCGAAGTGAAGCAAGACGTTGAGGTGCTCCAAGACTACCTGGAAAACCTTGGAAGTGCTCCTGAGCAAGAAGAGAGCAAGATTGAGTCAGATAAACAAAAGGAAGAGGAGAAAATCCAAGAGGAAAAGGCTAAAACTAGGCTTGAGAGGATCAAAGAGCAGGAAAGAGAGCTCCTAGACGCTAGATCTCAGCCTATTCGTCAATACTTGATGGACAAGGTCGTCCCATTCCTCACAGAGGGACTGATCAAGATTTGAAAAGAGATGCCCGAGAAGCCTACAGGAGAGCTAGCAGATTTCCTCATGAAGAGATGTGACGAAAGAGACCGAGAGGAAAGAGAGCAACTACAAAATACATAGAATTCCATCAATTTTGGCCACAGAAAAAGGGGTTTTGGGGTTTTGGGGTTTTGGGG